TTGCCCTCATGTGAACAGAGCTTGTGAGGAGCCAGGTTCCATCCATACACAAGGCACTCATATCTCTCCCCTGACCAGGGACTGTGAAGCCACGCCCAAACGCACTCATTGGTCTCTCATATCCAGGGGCTGTGTGGGCACGCCCATTCCTCTCTTCTCACCTTCCCCAGAGGCACATGCTGGAAACCTCGACTACCCAATTTGAGGATAGACTTGGCCAGGGAGAAGGCAGTGAAGCCATAGAAGGATGTGCGGGTCCCCACATCCTGTTCATATCCTTTGACAACGGCTCCACTCAGTCTGTACAGAAAGATCAAACCAGATGACGAGAATGGAGGAGAGACATTTGGAGGGGGGTGAGAAACATGAAGCAGCCTGGCAGGAGTTGTAGACACACTCCATTTCCTAGATAAGGTAGGGGACATGTCTTAGGTAGGGTTTTATAGCTGTTAAGAGACACTGTGACCGCTATGCCAACCCTTATAAAGGAAAACATTTAATTGGGGCTGGTTTACAGTTTGAGAGGTTTAGTCCGTCATCATCATGGAGAGGAATATGTGGATCACAGGCAGGCATGGTGCTGGAGGAGCTGAGACTGCTACATCTTGATCCACAGACAGCAGAAGGGGACTCTGTGCCACACTGGACAGAGCTTGAGCATAGACCTCCAAACCTATCCCCACAGTGACAGACTTCCTCCAACAAGACCACGCCTCTTAACCAGGCCACTCCTCATGGGCCAAGCATTCACCTAGGTGAGTCTGTAAGGGCCATTCCTATTCAAACCACCACAGGACACTTATCAGGTCTCCCAGGAGAGCCCATCTCTACAGGCAATGGAGGGAGAACATACCGGAAAACATAGTCATGGCTGTCTATCTCTTGGCCCATACGAGAATCATTCAGGATGCCCCCATTGCCCACTACAGCACAGGTGATACATGTGAGGTACCCAGTGGGGAGGCTTGCCAGGAGGAGCTGCTGCTGGAGTACCGGAGGGAAGCGGGTCAGCACCTTCTGTACCACTGGAACAGACCATGGCTCCATTCAGAGCCCGGAAAGGAGACCAACCCAAGACAGGAAGCCAGCCACTCTTTGCCCTGAAGTAAGGACTCACGGGACTGATTGAGCTCCATGAAGCCAAAGGGCGGTGCAAAGTGCTCTAGACGGCTCCACTCGCTCTGGGTGAAGTGTCCAGAGTCTAGGAACAGAGTGATGTTGGGCAGAAAGAGATTCTGTAGCCATGGTGACTTGGAGGCCTTGATCTTCACAGAGTTGGGGCAGGTCTATGTTCAGGAAGACATGTAAAGGTTGTGGGACGGTAATTTGGCCACACTCCCCAGAGCCCAGAGAGAAGGCAGAGAGAACAAATCTCTGCCTTAAGATTTCCCTGGCCCCGCCCTTCTCCTCCGTTTCTAATATATAAGTGAACACCTTCCGACATGTTTTGGGAGAGCATTTCATAATTCACCACCCAAGCCTGTAATCTGTTAATAAATCAACATATTTTAAATCGTCACATGTTTCTTAAATTTTGGGCTCTTCGTTGGAGTAAGTCAAGGCTGGCGCGCCCCTGTCTGCTGTCTGCACGGGGCAGGGGGAGGGAGAGAAGTTGTTCGTCTGCCCCCACGCTCTCTGTACTCTAGTTAGCCGCGACTTGTGTCCTGTGTCTCTTGTTGCAGCGTGCCAGCTCACGGGACAGGGGATGAAAAGCCTTTTTCTCCACCATCCCCAAGACTGCCCTGATATCTGCACGCAGGCGCATGGGCTCCGGCCTGCGCCCACACCCAGGCCTCACCCGCGAGCGCGACCCGGGCGTGAGATCTGCCCTACAAAGGTGAGGTAATGTGATGGCCCGGGAAACCATCAGCCAGGGCCTGGGTGGGCTCCATTACACACAGGCTGGGCCTCGGGGGTGCTGTTCAAATGTTCCTGCCCCCTATGCTGTCTTTCAGTCTGGACCCCAGGGTCTGACTACCTATCTCTCCATGTCCTGATCCACCTTGTCTTAGAAAACAGGTCCCCTAAGCTCCTAAGCAGCTACACTTGGCAATTCTGACAGCTACATGTGCATGCACTGTTCTGTCTGGATATGGCCCTGTCCTGTGTGTATACACAACGAGGTTTTTAGTATCTCCATCAAGGCAGGACTGAGAAGGATTAGGGAGGTGACATGGGGTTGAGTGCGTGCAGCTTTTCTAAAGCCTGGAGGATAGTGAAGGTTCCTGAGTAGGCTTTCCAGGGATGGCAATGTTCCTGGAAGGGGAGCACCTGGGCTCTAGGCTGTGTCTTCTTGCCTGCTACTTCCATGATAACATTAACTTCCATGTTCTAGACCCCAAAACTGGGCACACTCCCTTCCTATAGAAGGTTAACCTGCCTCAGGCCTTCTTCAAGGACTCCCAGACAAATCTCTTGCAGCCTCACCTTTCTGAGTTGTTCAGACCTTGATTCTGGACCTGCCTTCTCCTCCCTAGCTAAGGCAGTTATAAGAAGGAAGGATGGGTCAATAACAAGTATCAGGCCAAGTACAGGAAGGGTCAAACTTATGACTGAAAGCTGAGCACAGGAGGAAAGAGCTGCTTGGGTTGGTGGTAGCGTGCAGAATCATGGTGTAGTTCTGGACTCACCTTCTGTAGGCTGCCCACATCCATGCTATAGTCCTCCTCAAAATCCCACCGAGGCTCAGACTTGAAGTTGGAGGCCTTCAGCATTTGGCTTTTTTGTGTGGTGGGGTGTGGAAAAGAGGCAGGGGATGAGGTGGCCTGGACCACTTTCTTCTTGGCTGGGACAGATCCTGTGGCCATCGGTTGCTTCCTTGTTGACAGTGCTCCAGTAGCTATCGATAGGTTGTCCAGACATTTTGGAACAGGTGTCTTTGCAGCAGGCTCTGCCTTGCTCTGAGGATTCTCTGGTGCTGGCCTTATGGGATCCAGGTTCCTCTTCTCCTCCCCCTCTCCTCGGGCGGCCTTTCTCTTCTGTTTCTTCAGGTCCACTTCCTTTGTCCTGACAGATGTTGTCTCCTTGTTGTGAACTATGGGTGGCAGTGTCATTATGGGTCCTTGAGGTTTGGCCTTTTGTAGAATCTCTTGTGGACTTGATTCATTGTTCTGTATAAAATGGTACCTGGACAGAGAACACTTGGTAAAGGCTGGATGTTACATAAGCCCGCCACAAACATCATTAGCAGGCTGAGCAGATGGCTCAGTGAGTAAGAGCGCTTACTCTGCAAGCATGAGCACATGGGTTTGAATCCTCAGCTTTTATATTAAAAAACAAAACACCACAAATACAGGCATGCAGGTGCCTGCAAACCCACATGCTTTCCTGTCTTATCCTCCACGTTATTTTATGACACAGAGTTTCTCACTGAATCTGATGCTCACTGACTTGGGTAGATTGGTTGGCCAACCAAACCCCACAGATCCTCTGCCTTTGAACACTGGGATTACAGGCTCATACCTGTGGGTGCTGAGACTTGAACTCAGGTCCTCATGTTTGTGCACCAATAACTTTTCCATCTGCATACGTCTTACACACAAACAGAATAAATCTAAGAAATCCGGTAGTTCTTAGGTTCAGGACTGCTCAGTCCCCCATGAGTCTTATGTTTCTAAGTAGATCCTGGCTTGTTGTCTCCTTAGACTGCAGTATCCCTCCTTGCTGAAGTGGCCTCTGGACACCACAGAAATCCTCCTGTCCCCAAGATCTTCTGGCATGCCCCTTACTTGCTGAAACTATCCTCCTTTCTTCTGTAACAACTGACCAGCTTAACCTTGTTACTGATAACAACAGCAGACTTACAAACACACAAGTCCCTCAGACTCCACCTATATGTCTTGCTCTCTTCTGTTAGACTTTGTACCTCTTGAGAGCTCGTCAGAAAGAGTGGGTAAAATGGCCCCCAGGCCCCAGTCTCTGTGGTTTGCGGCCCCAGGTTGGGTAGGACCATTATTGACCTTTATGGACCTCATACCCATCACCCTTGAAAATTATGTAAGCTTCCGTCTTACACAGTTGTAAAGATCAAAGTCACACACAGAGTGACTCCAGTTCTGAGTTGATGTGTCAGAAAAGAGGGGGTCGCCACCTTCACAATGAGCCTCACAAAGCAAGGTAGACCTTTCACAGCTCCCTTTCAGGATTTTAAACTTTATTAAATCATCTCTGTGTGTGTCAGTGTAGGTGTACCTCTTTTTGCACATGGACATAGTGTGCATATGCACGTGTGTGCATGTGGTCATGTGTGCATGTGGTCATGTGTGTGCATGTGGTCATGTGTGCATGTGGTCATGTGTGTGCATGTGGTCATGTGTGCATGTGGTCATGTGTGTGCATGTGGTCATGTGTGTGCATGTGTTCATGTGTGTGCACATATGTAAGTGTGTGCTTATGCTCATGTGTGAATGTAGTTGTGTGTGCATGTATACACGTGTGCATGTGCTCAGGTGTGTGAGTATGCTTATATGTGTGTCTAAATGTGGAGACTAGAGATTGGCCTCTGGTGTCTTCCTTAGAAACCTTCCCCTTTGCATTTTGAGACAGAGTCTATCATTGGCTTAGAGCTTGCTAAGTAAGCTTGGCTGGCCTATGATCCTCAAGAATCTATCTGTCTCTTCCTCTCCAGCACTGGGATTTTGAGCACTCCCCACCATGCCTGGTTCTTACATGAGTGCTGGAATCGAACTCAGATCCTCATGCTTGTGTGGCAAGTACTTGACTAACTGAGCCATCTCCCCAGTTTCTCCAAAGCTTTGCCTTTCTTTTTGAGTCAGGGTTCTAAGTGGTGATGGCTGACTTCAGACTCCAGATCCACCAACCGCAGTGCTTGAAGTCATGGCTGCTCCACTCCACTTGTCATTGCTATCCTGTTTTTATTAGTTTTTACTCCTTTTGTTATTCTGCCCCTGTAGCAGCACCTTGACCCCTCCAAGTGTAAAACCTGTGGTCACCTTTGTGCCCCCTCTTCCTCCCACCACTCCTTTAAAATATCTCTTGAAGTTCACTTCTTTCTTGTCCTGGATCCTCCCTGGACTTCAGTGGCTGAAGCTTCCTCCTTCAGCACTTTCTGCCAGAGGTAACTACTTAGGCAATCTCTCCACCCCTTGCCCTTGATTATCTCACTGGATGGTCCACACCCTCACCTTCTTGAAGCTGCCTTTCTGCCCTAAGAGTCCTTTGCCTCCATACCCTGGCCCCACCTTTCTCCTGGGCAAGCAGGGAAGCCCTCCATTGTGCATGAGACTTCCCCATTGAGGAATGCTGATGGATCGTTCATGTCAGCTCTTTCTCTATAGACGCCTCCTTCTCTGCAGGCCATTTACTGATCACTCGACCAACTGCATACCATCTTTGAAACTTTCCACAGAGCCTCCTAGACTCTCTCTCTTCCAGAGACCTCTCTCCATGGTCCCTCTATCAATCACTTGGAACTTAATTATATGCAGTGTATTGAACATGCTTCATGTAACAGTCACTTCAGCTGATTAAAACTCGTTCTAGTTTTGAGTGGTGGTACATGTCTATAATCCCAGCACTTGGGAGGCTAAGGCAGGAGGATCAATGGTCCTGAAGCTATCCTGGGTTATATAGTGAGACACTATGTGTCAGCCTATGTTCAGTCTATCATTCATCTATCTATCTATCTATCTATCTATCTATCTATCTATCTGTCATCTATGTATCTTGCTAGGGGACAGCCCCATCGGGGTCTTGTTTCTTGTTGATTTTTCTTGAGGCAGCGGAGGGGGAAGAGTGTTGTCAGTGGAGGGTAAGACTTTGTCTTACAAGATATTTAGGGTTGCTGTATAATAATAAAAATTTTACTTATCTAAGTTACTATGCTACTGTAGCTGACCTGCCCTCTGTGATCCTCTGAGGCCAGGAACTGCAGTTTCTGGCATGTAGCATCTCATCCTAGGAACAGCAAAGTATTAAGAAAATAGCCTTTAGCCGGGCCACGGTGATGCATGCCTTTAATCCCAGCACTTGAGAGGCAGAGGCAGGTGGATTTCTGAGCTTGAGGCCAGCCTGGTCTACATAGTGAGTTCCAGGACAGCCAGGGCTACACAGAGAAGCCCTGTCTTGAAAAACAAAAACAAAAAAGCAAAAAAAAAAAAAAAAAAAACAGAAAAACAAACAAAAAAACCACACACACACACAAAGTAAATACCCTTCGTACTATCTCAGCAGGAACTGTTGGGCTCTAATTTTCAGCCTGTTAGAAGCCACAGGAAGAAAAAGAGACACTTTTTGAAGTGATTAGAGTGTTTATTACTAAGTTGTAAAAAGTTTCCTATGAAAAAAAATGTTTCCTATTAATGCTATCTAAGAAGAAGGGGAACTCAGAAGGAACCTCAGAGGGGCAAGGGAAATATTCCTCTAAGTTGGGAAAGGGGGGGATTCTAAGTGGGGAAAGGGAGAAAAAAATTGTTCTCTTCCTCTCTTTGTCCTGAGTTCTTATACATCTTTCAGAATACATGATCACATGTTAAAAAATTCATCACATGTTAACACAAAAATAAAATCATAAATTGTATTAGAAGTTTAAAACGGAGAGTATATGAATGGATATCCATTAGGAGTTATGATTGGGCTAAATGCCTATCACCTGTCACAGCTCCAAAGGTTCAGTGAAAGTTGAAAACAATAACTAAGTTATTAGTGAAGATTTGTATAGATAAACCCAGGCAATATTGTATCTTCTGTCCTATCGCCTATAATAAATCGCTAGTTCCCTTTTTATGACCTTTGGTTAATTGTTTTACAACTTCTTGAAATGTGCTCTGAGTAGGAGAAAGTCTGGTTACTATATAAGAGCAATTAACAGGTGACACATGAGAGACTGACAGAGTTCTCATTGAAGTTTTGACATCAGAAAAGGACCTAATAACAGCTGCACTATAAAAGAGCTTAATTATCACTGATATAATTTTAGGAATTCTTATAGGATCATCATTAAGAGGTTTTTTTTTTAAATCTTTTTTTTTTTTCTGAGACAGGGTTGTTTGTATAGCCCTGACTGTCCTGAAACTCACTCTGTAGACCAGGCTGGCCTTGAACTCAGAAATCTGCCTGCCTCTGCTTCCCAAGTGCTGGGATTAAAGGTGTGTGCCACCACTGCCTGGCTATCATTAAGACTTAAGGAGTCATCTATTTGTCTATATAGCATCAATACAAGACAGTACACCTTCGTAGATCTGCAGAGATCTGCTCAAAAGAGTGGACTGATACCTAGTGTTTGTTATATATGTTTAAAAATAATAGGAAAGGGCTGGAGAGATGGCTCAGAAGTTAAGAGCACTGACTGCTCTTCCAGAGGTCCTGAGTTCAATACCCAGCAACCACATGGTGGCTCACAACCATCTATAATGGGATCCGATGCACTCTTCTAGTGTGTGTCTAAAGACAGCTGCAGTGTACTCATATCAATAAAAATAAATAAATCTTTAAAAAAAATAATAGGAAAAAACATATAAATAGCAGAAATCTTTGAAAAAATAAGTTCCCTTAGGTCCTTCTTTATAAGACCAAATCTGTTGTGGATTAATTTGAAGCAAACTATCTCAGGAAAATCACACAGTAGTTATTAGCTTGTTTTATTATGGCTTCTGACACTATCTGCTATATTTATAAATCTATCTTTCTATCTAATATATCTATAAATCTATCAACCTGTCTATCTATAAATTTATATATCCGTCTGTCTATAGGTCTATCTATCTATCAATTTATCTATCTATCTATCCATCCATCCATCCATCAGTCTTTCTATCCACTCCCTTCTTCCCTGTTCCAGTGCTGGAATCAAACTGAGGGCCTCATAGATACTGGACAAGTTTTCTACCTCTGAACCACACCTCCACCCAGCCCTTTCTCCTTCTCCAAGCCTTTCTTGATGTTATATACTTTACAACCTGCTTGCTCTGAGGTTAAGTCACCTTGTGAGATATCTGAACTATTGCTGACATAGCCTCAACAGTCAAAATCTGAAGTTTTCCTGGGGAAAGCTTGCCACTCTGCAGAACCCCTGAGTCCTTTTCAGGATCCTGCCACCACCACCCCCCACACTGCTCTGACAACATCATTGTCCACAGACACATATCTGGAAGTGTGTGTTCCACTTCATGACTCCTGGTGAAGGACTCCTGTCCCACAGCTCCCTAGGCCATGAAGACCCGGGACAGAACAACACAGTTCTGTTTTCTTTCAGTGTGTTACACAATGGACAGCTGCATTGACATTCAGCCTTCAGAAGTATCTAGACAGCAATGGGCACCTAGCTGTTTTATCATACCCCTTAGCTCAGGGGCATGTGGCATTGACTGGTTATGGGGACCTGGAGTGATTCTGCTGGAGGCCACTCCTACTTGAAGCTTCTTTCTAGCATCCATGGAGTCCTCCAACCGACTCCCATATCCCCGTGTTGCTCTAGGTATGCCTTGACACTATGACAGCCATTCTTATCTGAAATGCACACTTGAAACAGATCTATCAAATGAGATAGATAGATAGATAGATAGATAGATAGATAGATAGATAGACAGTCAAGATCAAGATGGCTGGGTAGAGGTGTATAGACCTGTAATCCTGGTACTTGGGAAGCAGAGGCTGGCAGATCTCTGTGAGTCTGAGGCTAGCCTGGTCTGCATAGCAAATTCCAGGAAAGACGTGGATATACAGAGAGACTTTGTCCTAGAGTCCCAACAGACACAAACACATTTTACTGTAAGAAGGAACCAAACTGAAGCTGTTTTGAAGAAAACCTCCATTTTGAGTAGGGCTCAAATAAAGTTTTAGTCCCAAGACCTCCCTGGGTAACTGACATAGTGTTTGCAGAAAGACTCATATAAATGGGTAATGTACATCCTGGTTGGCAAGTTGAGACATAAGTGCTTGGCAGGTTGTCCTGCCAGAGTTCAATAACCCAACCAATGGGAACAGGATAATGGGAACACAAAGACGTGTTCCAAAGGAAGTCCCCATCCCTAAATCCTGATTGGTGGGAAAACATGGCACAGATGATTGTAGTTTTGGAGCTTAAAAACTTTGTTCCTTTCTGGCCTGGAGTCACAGCTCATCTCCTGCATCTGTTCTGCAGCCCTGATCACAGTAGTTGTCTGAACACAATACAGTTTTGCCCTCTGCAAAAATACTTACTAAATTAACCTTCAAATATACAGTCAGCTTCTGAGTCTGTGCTGTTCTCCCTGACTGGTCAGGTTTTGCTGCCTAATTCAAATAAAGGTCTTACTTTGCTGGACTCGTGTGCATGCTTGGGTTGTTTTAGATGATTAGGCTGTAACAATACCACAAGCAAAAATAAATACCTTCTAAATAAATTCTTGAAGTTTAATGAATCAAAGGACTGAGACATTAGCAGCAGACATAGGGGAAGTTTTTCATATTTGGGGGGAGTGTTAAACCAACTTTTCCCCCAAGTCACAATGCAATGACAATAAAAGAAAGGCACAGAATGTGAACTCCTGATTCTTTTGCCTCTGCCTCCCAAGTGTTGAGATGTGCCATCATCCTAGTTTGATATCAGGAATCAGACTTTGTTTATGCTGGGCAAGCGTTCTACCTACTTGGCCCTGTCAGACCCAACGTTTCTATATTTTTTCCATCTTATTAGAGAATGAATATATTGTTTTCAAATGTCAAGAGCAATAAAGCAAAAAAAGAAGCTTTTTCACTGCGTCTGTAAAAAAGCGTCACTGCTGGAGATGTGCTAAATGGTCTAGAAGTTCTTGTGGAGATCTCACGTGGGGCACGGATTCCGAGGCTCGCCTTATCACGACCTATGTGCAACCTTGACTTTTGTGACTCACTTTTCAGGGTTCGAAGGTCTCTGAGACATGGGAAGCCCACAGCCAAGAATGTGCTCTGAGTCTCAGGGAGTGGTGTGCAAGAGCCAGCACTTCAGCTGCCCTAGTACTAACTAGCCCCTTAGGGGTAACTTCCCTTGTGCTGTGTCTGCCTGGCTTCTCCAGGCTCAGTCCATGGGTCCCCAGCTCCTGCCTGCTTCCCGTCCCACCCCTCCAACTCTGGCTTGCCTTTTTGTACAATCCTCCTGCTATCCCCGGCACCTTGGTCAATACCACCAGCTCCTTTCAGATTCTTTATAAGACTCCTGACCTTAACACCCGTGGAACCCATAGGTGGCTCAGAGTTCCCCAGGCCTCCCCTCAGGTGCCTTGTTTGGGAATCACAGAATTGGCATCTTCTTACCGGAAATCCTTTGTGCTTGGTTCCTTAACAATGGCGAGCAGAATAAAGATCAATGTCAACACAGCCAGAAACAGGAAAACTTGCTTCTGGGAAAGTCCTCCGCAGCAGTTCTTCATGGTGGATGGCTGGTCCCTAAAAGCACGTATGATGAGAGCGAGCCTCTTGAAGCAACAGTTAGGTTGCTTCCTCATTCAGGTGAGGGTGAGGAAGCCCCGCCCTTTAGTGTAGCACTGAGCTGTTCCAAAGAGCAGAAGATATAAAGGAAGGGCAGACATTCAAGAGAGAGAGAGACCTTCTGTCCTTATAGGTTTAACTTCTCATGGGAGGGACCCTAGGCACAGTTGCCATTTAGGGTCAAATTTCTTAGCCTCTCAGAAATTGTGACTGGAACATCACCAGAAATCTGTGTGTCTGAGACTTGCTGTCAGGGCCAATGGACAGCTTCACAAAATAGGTGGCTATAGAGTTCTGGGGGAAAGGCATGGTGGGTAAGACACTTGCTGCACAACCATGAGGACCTATGGTGAGTTTCTCAGCCCCTGTGCCAAGCCAGTCATGGTAGCACATGTCTGCACACCCAGTGATTCTGTGGCAGGATGTGAGATGGAGACAGAAGACTCCAAGAACCTCACAGGCCAGCTAGCTTGGTGTATGCAGTGAAGAAGGGGCCCTGTCTCAGACAATACGGAAGCTGACACATGCACAGAAGAACAACAAGCCTCAATGAAGACTTCTTCAAATGCTGGCACCTGAAATTGAGACCCTAATCCATCTGCCTGCCTGTTTGTCCTGGTGGGCAGATGCAGTGCATAGCGTGTAGGCACGCTCTTAACCCAGCATCAATCTCAATAAACAGTCTCCTCTTACCTGTCAGACCCAATGGCAAGCTGAGGTGCCCATTAGCATGCCAAAGTACATGCTGGCCTCAGGCTCTCTAAGTATCACAAGTATATGCTATAGCATCCCTGCTGGCTCACTGGCTCTTCTGAGCACTTCTAAAAGTTGGGGGGAGGGGGGAGTGGATTAGAGGGATAGGGAGTGTGAGGGGCTGAGAGTGTGGAGATACACTATATTTCTCTAGCTTCTGTGTTAACTATTTACCAGCTTCTCTTTCTCAACAATCCTGAAATTTCAGACATAGTCCTCTTTTGTCTTAAACTTTTGGCTCTCTCCCTCTGTCTCTGTCTCTGTCTCTGTCTCTCTCTCTCTCTCTCTCTCTCTCTCTCTCTTTTTCTCTCCACCCCCCCCCGTAACTTTTTACTGATTCCTTCTGAATCTCACTCATGCACTCCAATCCCACTCACCTCCCTGTCTTTCCATATCCACCCTAACCTCCCCCAAAACAAAACAAGCAAAATCTCGATATGGAAGCTACAGTGTGGTCCACACACACCCTTTTCCCCAAACAGCTTTATATGCAAATGTCCATTGCAATGACCCATTGGTCTGGTTTGAGATCTCTGGACTCTGCTACACTGCCAATACTGGATCCTCACAGGACTCCTCTCAAACAGCCTGTTGTTACCCTGTGTCCTGGAGATCCTGCTGCTTTGGATCTGAAGGACTGGCCTTTTCCACATGTTCCACAGTTCACAGATGTGGTTGATGTTGTTGTGAGCCAACTCTTAAGTCCTGGATCTGGCCCTGGGTGGTTACTGGGTTGTTCACTCCTCCAGCTCTCCTGAGCATGTACCACCAGGGCCAGCTCTCCTCCTTTGCCCACTTAAGGAGAAGTCTACCTCACTCTTGCCTCTCTCCTTTATTTTGGGGGTTTTGGTTGTTTTGTTTTACCCTGGTCTTTGCCTTTAAGGCTCCACTTCTTCACCCATAGTGAGAGACTGGCTGATCCTGAAAGGGAAGGCAAGGTTCGAACAGCTAGGAGATGAGATAACTCAGATATCTCTGAGTGCAATGAAAAAAAGAAACTTGGGAGACAGCTTCAGTGAGCCAGCTCGGTTAATGGGGGAAACAAAGGCTATTTAAACCTTTAGAGGGGGGTAGGGACTTTTGGGGTGAGTGTACATCATTGGGCAAGGCCAGGATATTGGGGATGACTCACTTGAATAAGAGGAATTCCAGGTGCTGTGGGACATGACATTATTAAGGGGAGAGGAAGTTTAACTTGTTTCTGAGGCTATGTGACCTCCTATGGGGGGCAAAGTTCGGGGAGCAGGGCTACATGTCCTGGAATGCAGACCCCGGGCATGGGGGAGTGATCCTATTCCTGCATATCTCAGGATGAGATTTCCAGGGTTTGGACATGCCCTGATCCCACTCTTTCTCCAGGTTGTTCCCCATTCCAATGTTCCACAGTCCTCCAGCCATACAGCACTCTTTCTGTCATCCTTTCTCACTCTCTTCTTCTCTTTCTCCTCTCATGGCCAAGTCCAGCTTACTGATCGTATTCAATCTACTTTTCACCCTGCTCTGGACTCTTTCAGATGCCCATGGCTGTACTCTTTCTCATATTTATAACACATGTAGGACCCCGAAGGGCTGCTATGCCCTGGCTCAGCCTCATGCTGCTGTCTACAAAGTAACATTCTGCGGTTCCTCTAGGATCAAAACATCCTGAGTAAGGCATGGTGCCCCAGGAAGGGAATTTACACTTGGTATCCTATGCCCCCCGCCAAGTTGAATTCCTGCTTTTTTCACATCCTGATTAATACATGGTGCCCCAGGAAGAGAATTTATACTTGACATCCTATTGCCCCCCAGTTGAGTTCCTGTTTTTTTCCTGAGTTTGTATTTTTCCTTCCCTGGCTTGGTGTATATATATTGAATCTGCCCAGTAAAAGTTTTGAAATTCTCTCACAACAGATGACCTGAGTCTGAGTATTCCTTTAATCCCCCAGATCTACACCCAAGCACAGTACTGTGGGCAGTGTCAGAGCTTTCAAGTGGAGGTCCCACCGAGTTTGGGAAAGAGAGGAGAATCTTACAGGATCATTCCTGGAAGGAGCCGGCTGGCTGGTGCAGAGAGTGGAACGTATTGGAGAGGCGGCATGGGATCAAACTGAAAGCAGCACTACGTGAGTGTGAGCTTTGATCACGCCATGGAAATTGTGAGTTCCTTTCTACGAGTATTGGCACAGGATGATTCAGGTAAGGAATCCTTGTATGAGGTGAATAGCTCCAGCTCTAAGGATGAGGAAGAAACTTTAGAAAAGGAAATAGCTTATTTAAAAGAAAAATTAAAGAAATGCAAGGTCCAAAAGGGGATGAATGGGAAAGGAGAGTGACCACCTAGTAAAATCCCTTTTATGGACTCTCCAGAGGCCACTGCTCCTCCAGCATATGATGAATGCTCCCTGAAGGATTGGTGGGTAGTGGAGCCCATCCCTAAGAAGGGGGTGATTTTTTCCAAAACAGGTTCCAACTATGCTTACCCTGTAATGGAAGTCCCTCACTCCAATGACCCCGGGCAAATGCTTAAGCAGCATGTGCCTTTGTCTTTTAAGAAATTACAGAGCCTTAAAGAAGCAGTTTCCTCCTATGGGGCCTTGGCACCCATTACTTTGGCAATTCTTGAGTCCTATAGCACCTTTAATTTAACACCAGGAGATTGGCAGCAACTGTGCCGTGCGACGTTGAGTGGGGGAGACTATTTACTGTGGAGGGGAGAATATCAGGAGCAATGTGTTATCTTGACAACATAAATGCACAGGCATGGCAGCCCCAGAGAAATCTGGAAGTGCTAACTGGATCAGGACAATATGCTGCTCTCCATCAGCAGATTCATTATGATCCTGCTGTTTACGCCCAAATTGCCACTGCGGCCGTTAGAGCCTGGAAGGCCTTGCTTAATAAGGCAGCTGGAGGTCAACTATCCAAGATGGTTCACGAAGTGCATGCTGACAAGAACCTGATATAGAACCTCTGAGCCCTTCAAAGAATTTGTGAATAAACTCTTCCAGTTAGCAGAAAAATTGTTTGGGGATGCTGATACTACCATGCCAGTAGTAAAGCAGTTAGCTTTTGAAAATGCCAATAAATGGTGTAGAGAAGCCATTAGACCACATAGATCAAAAACCTTAGATGATTATATTTGAGTTTGCAAGGAAATTGATGGAAATTTTATTATGGGACAAATACTCGCAGCTGCTGTGCAAAAGGGATCTAGCAAGAATAAAACTTGCTTTGGATGTGGCCAAGCTGAACATTTTAAGAGGGATTGTACAGGGAACAAGGGGATTACAGGTCCTGGCTTGTGCCCTCAATGCCGAAGAGGCCATCATTGGAATAATGAATGCAGGTCAAAATCAGATGCTGATGGCCACTCTCTCCTGGCTTCGGGGAATGGGCAGCAGGGCCCACTCCAGGGCCCACAAACCGAAGTGTACAGAGCCATAAATATCACTATTACCCCTATTCCAGTTTGGTTTGTGCCTCAAACCAACCCCTTTATGTCAAAGACCTTGTCAGAGGTACCCCAGGAAGCACAAGATTAGCCCTCCATTCCTCCTCCAGAGCAGTATTGACACCTCAAATGGACCCTCAAGCATTAAGTACTGGAGTGTATGGCCCCATCCCTTCAGGGAGTGTAGGCCTTCTCCTAGGATGTAGCAGTGCCTTGTTGAAGGGAATTAGGATCTTTCCAGGAGTAATAGACTCAGATTTTACTAGAGAAATTTAAATTATGGTTACTGTGGATAGGGGAGTTGTAGTTATTTCCCAGGGAGATAGAATTGCTTAGCTAGTTCTCTTGCCACAGTTACCCACTAAACATGCTGGGTTTCTACCCTCAAGGACCGTCCTACCTTTACCCTTTGGGTTGATGGAAAGCCTATGAAAGGAATTCTGGATACTGGTACAGATAGAACTGTGATATCTCAAACATCTTGGCCTAGTAGCTGGCTCCTGGATAGGTCCTCTTCCACCTTACAAGGAGTGGGCACAGCTGCTGCACCCCTCAGGAGTAGTAAGATCTTAAAATGGCAAGATGAGGAAGGACATGAGGGATGGTTTCAACCATTTGTCTTGGAACATCTCCCCATTAATTTATGGGGTCGAGATGTACTTAACTATATGGGAGCTGTCCTCAGAACCCAACCAGTTCAGGGTATGATGAAAAAGCAAGGATATATTCCTGGGAAAGGATTAGGGAAATGTTTAC